TTTTTTGAGACGGAGACTCAAGCTATCCCCCTGGGTAGAATGCCATGGCATCACAACTCACAGCAACCTCCAACTCCTGGGCTCAAAGAAACCAAACTTCTTATCCAGCTGCCTGTGATTTAGATCATGATGAAGCCTCATGTGACTTTAGGAAATTCACTTGAGTCTCCATTCTCATCTATAAAATTAAGATAACATTACTACTGGGCACCATGGCTCAAGCCTATAATCCTAGCACTTTGGGAGGCCACACAGTGGAAGGCTCACTTGAGGGCAGGAGTCCTAAGACCAGCCTGGGCAACATAGCAAGACCCTGCCTCTACAAAAAAATTTTTAGAAAAAATTGAGCCAGGCACGGTGACACACACCGTACTCCTAACTTCTTGGGAAGGTGAAGTGAGATCACTTGAGCCAAGTTTAAGGTTGCAGTAAGCTATAATAATGCCATGGCATTCTACCTGGGATGACAGAGCAAAGTCCTATTAAACAACAGTCTCAAATTGAGTTAAAAACAAGTTATTTACAAGAGACACACCTGAAGAGATAAAAGTTCCCTCTTTATCCATCCTTCTGAGCCTAAGGCAAGTGTCCTCAAACTACAGTCTGTGGGCCACATGCAGCCCACCTAGGACATTTTTCTGGCCCGCCAGGTGTTTTTGCCGCCGCTGCCTGTCCTGCTTAGCAGCCCACTCGTCCCAGGGCCCGCAGTCTGGCCCTCCAACAGTCTGAGGGACAGTGAATTGGCCCCCTGTTTAAAAAGTTTGAGGACCCTGGAAGGGGTTGCCTGCAGCCCTTACCATTCCACACTGCAGACAACCCCTTGTCTTCCCAATGCTTCCAGTACCTTGTTCAGATATTCTTGGCAGTGGGCTTATATATATATAAAACAGAGACTCAAAATTCTTTTAGGCACCAAAATTTTTATTTACCCACCTTCGTGGTTTCTTTTAACATTATAAACCAAATTAATCTCTTTTTGACCCAAGTTTGTGATATGAACCATCATGTTACAAAGTAGTGGCAGATTTATGCCTGCTTTTGTTTTTCTGGCCCCCTCCAATCTATGGCTGTCACTTGTCCTTTCTTGGTTGTCCCATAACAGTCTACTCTAATCCCTATAAAATAGGGACTGAAAGTACCAACCTCCCAGGCTCTTGGGAACATTCAAACTCCCAATGGTTCCCTTCAATAAAGCTCCTTCTCAGGATGGGTGTGGTGGCTCACGCCTATAATCCTAACACTTTGGGAGACTGAAGCAGGAGGGTCACAAAAGGCCAGGAGTTCAAGACCAGCCTGAGCAAGAGTGAGACCCCATCTTTACAAAAAATAGAATAATCAGCCAGACATGGTGGTATGAGCCTATAGTTCTGGCTACTCAGGAGGCTGAAGAAGGAGAATCACTTGAACCCAGAAGTTTGAGGTTGAATTGAGCTATGATGATACCACTACACTCTAGTCAACAAGACAAAGCAAGACCCTATTTTGAAAAAAAAAAAAAAAAGAAAATAAAGCTTATTCTCATCTGTCATGGTCTGATGGACTAGTTAACCTGTAAACCAAACACATGGACCCATAGGCTAGGTGAAAGTCTAGAGGATAAGATACATGGGTTTTGTGACCACCACTACCAACTTCCAGCCTAAAGAACTGACTAGTGAGCAGTTCCAAGACCACCGGGCTCAGGGTTTACTGCAGACATATCCCTCTATCATGACCAGCCTTTGAAGAGAGTCCTCTCAATTCCCCCTGCCACACTTAGAACAGTTGAGGGATGCAGCAGAAGTGAATAGCCCCAGGGAGTCAATAAGGAAGGGGCACACAGACAAACCAACCCCAGAGTTGGTGCCATTTACTCTTGGGGAGGTCAAGTGGGGCCTGAGCAACGACAGCAGCTGAAAGGTACAAAGCAGGCCTGTCTCTCAGTAGCGGTAGTGATCAGGCTTGAAGGGGCCATCACGGGGCATACCCAGGTACTTGGCCTGCTTCTCAGTCAGCTTGGTCAGCTTCACGTTCAGCTTACCCAGGTGGGCTTCAGCCACTGCCTCATCCAGCTGTGGAGAAACACAGAAGACCTGGAATCAGTGCCATGCTCTGGGACCCCTGATCTACATCCAGCTGCCAATAGAGGCAGAAATGGTTCTGCCGTGTATCTGTCCTGTGTGTTACCCATATTACCTCATTCTATCCTTGCAGCCAGCCTCAGTGAATGCTTTTTATTGGCTGCCCAGCTCCTCCTTAACACTTCACCATGCCAATCCTCCCCACCGAATAGCCCTAGTAGAACCATCAATTACATCTCCTTCCTCATCTTCCACCAACCCAAGCAACCAACCAAAATGCCTCTCTGGAGTTTATCAATAGGACATATTTTTCATGATGTGTAGAGACAGCAGTGCTCCAATTCCCCTAGGATTCCTAAACAGGAAGGTTATTGATCTTGTTTGACAGGTGAAATGAGTGTAGAAAAAAGAAGGCCTGCCAGAGAAAGAGCTATGCCAACAATGAATCCTAAATCTGGGGTCTAAACCCTAGACTTCTCCATTATATAGCCAATACAGTTCCTTTTTTGATTAAAACATATCCATAAATTCTTTGATACTCCATCCTTCAAGAGGTAGAGTCTAATTCCTTGCCCCTCGCCATTAAGTGACTTATTTTTTTTTTTTTTTTTTTAAGAGAGAGAGTTTTACTTTGTCACCCTCGGTAGAGTGCTGTGGCATCACAGCTCACAGCAACCTCCAGCTCTTTGGCTTAGGTTGACAGCCTCCCCAGTAGTTGGGACTACAGGCACCTGCCACCACGCCCAGCTATTTTTTGTTGTTGTTGCAGTTTGGCCGGGGCCGGGTTTGAACCCACCACCCTCGGTATATGGGGCCAGCGCCCTACTCACTGAGCCACAGGCATCACCCAGGTGACTCATTTTTAATGAACAGAATAAAGCAAAAGTGATGGTATGTGACTTTGGACACAAGGTCATAAGAGGCACTGTGGCTTCCTCCTTGCAAGGACACAGACGCAGCCCTGTGGAGTCCCACAGGTGAGGAACTGAGACCTCCTTCAACAGTGAGGGATGTGAAGAGGATTGTCTAGCCCCAGTCAAGGCCTTAGGTGACTGCAGCCTTGACAGAAATCCTGAGTCTGAACCAACCAGCTAAGCCAATCTCAAATTCCTAACTCACAGAATATAAGATAATAAATGTTTAGTGCTTTCAGCCAGTAGTTTGAGGGTTAAATTGTTATGCAGCCATGGATAATTAATACACTGTGGGGTTTTTTTTGGTGGGAGAGAAACTGTCATCCTCCTTTATTTTTTTTTTTAATTAAATCATAGGAGTGTACATTAATACTATCATGGGGTACAGTGTACTGTTTCTATATACAATTTGAAATACTTTCATCCAACTGGTTAACATAGCCTTCATGTCTTTTTCTTAGTTATTGTGTTAAAACATTTATATTCTATATTTCATCCTCCTTTTATGAATGAAGAAATCAAGGTTCAGAAAGGTAGAATGACTTGCCCAAGATCACATAGCTAATGAACAACAGAGCTAGGATTTGAACCAGGGCCATCTGGCTCCAAAGCCCTAAAATGTGTCTCAAGCATCCCAGCTTAGGGCCTCTAGGGCAGCTTTGAAAAGATCAAGCAGGGCTCAACACCTATAGCTCACTGAGTGGGGCACCGGCCATATACGCTGAGCATGGCAGGTTTGAGCCAGGCCTGGACCTGCTAAACAACAGTAACTGCAATCAAAAAAATAGCTGAGGCTCAGTGCCTGTGGCTCAAGCAGCTATGGCACCAGTCACATACACCTGAGCTGGCGGGTTCAAATCCTGCCAAACAACAATGATGGGCATTGTGGAAGGCGCCTGTATTCCCAGCAACTTGGGAGGCAAAGGCAGGAGAATCACTTGAGCCCAGGAGTTGGAGGTTGCTGTGAGCTGTGACACCACAGCATTCTACTCAAGGTGATAGCTCGAGGCTCTCAAAAAAA